ATATGTATGTACATGCATGTAGATGCTTTAACTGCACAATAAGAAAGCTGAAAAGCCAAAATTTTATGGATATAGCCATGGTTACGTACAGGCCCAGAACTGTGAACAGCCTGTAACTTCCCCTACAACTCAGATGAGGGCTTTTCAATTTCAGATACATTTTACTTAATTTGAAGTTGTTAACTGCAGCGGCAGCAAAGCGCTCTTGTCTTCTGCAGCGATTAATGCATTTATAATGGTGTAGGGAAAAGCGATTAATTGATTCTTCGGACAAAAATAGCAGAAAGATGGATGAGAGTGAAATGACTTCCATGCGTTTCTTCCTGAGCATCTCGAGTGTTGTTCGCTAGCAGTATGGAGATAGCTGGGCGGGAAACTTAAATATCAAGGAATAACCGGTGGTCGAACATTTGTACCAAATTCGTTTTTGAAAGACTGAGCTTAGCATGCGAAATTCAAAACTTTAAAGCATGTTACTGATTGCTAGCAAGCTGCCTAATTTCCGGCTAAAAAAATTTTTTTGTGTCAATGTTATGCTTTGAAGAAAAGAAGCAAAGGGCAGAGGAGGGAGGAAGAGAAAAAAGTTTACTTTGCAGTTTTTATGCCTTTTATTCCATCTCAGTCCCAAGTTTTATTAAAAGGCGTGCACGAAAAAATAAGATTTCGTTAATGTGCAGATTATGGGACGGGTGAACTCTTTAACAAAATAGCTAATCAAAATAACCGAAATTTTGTAGATAATCAGAATGTTTCGGAACGAAAAAAAAACGTTTAAACAACTTCAGTAGCGGTCAAATTGTGCAAAAAACGCATGTCCCCACCGATCCATGAGCGCGCATCGCTATGCAGTGCTATTGATGTGACCTTCAAGTCGTGTTACAACATAGTTTGAAGGCCGAACAGAGAGTGGTGCATGATGGTGTGCGCTTGAGGAGCGGTGAGAGCGTGAAATATTTATAATTCTTCCGGCTTGGGTCTTTTATTGCTTGAATTTCAAATGCATAATTTTTCTGAATAATAAAATAATTGTTTTTGAAAAAGCTGCAGTTTATAGTCTGTTTCTCTAGCTATGAAACTGGGAACTTTTGCCTTTAACCAATGCTTTGTCGCAACAATATCGTCGTACTACAGTGCCTTACGTTTTTTCGCTATTATATGGCGGTTAGGGGGCTGTACTGATGATTCCCACCCCTAACTGCACTACGTACTGTCTGTGTTTACAGCTTAGGGGAAAAAAATCTCACGAAGTGCTGTTGTTGGTTCCCCACGAAAATACCACTTGACAAGGTTTGAATCGTTTCGAGATGTCCTTGGTGTGTGTTGAGCATCACTGGTTCCAAATGATGTTATGCCCACGCCATGATAGGTGTCTTACTGACTGCGAGTCATAATTTTATGTGAAAATCAAAACGATTCAACGGTTTTTATGTTTTTTAGCGGCGTTTATGTGGAAGGTTTTTGTTTTCTTATTTGTTTGCTCCCTGGTTTTATCGGGATTTGTTATTGCTACGGTTGTGAGCAACTGTGTCAGCGATTCACGATACTGGATGCCATCGTCCAGACCATTTTGCAAAGATCTCCATCAAATGCTGACAAAACATTCGGTAAGTTTTATTTATTTTTTTAACTTAATGTATTTCTAATACATTTAGGGCTTTGGAGAAAATATGAACAAAAAGATGAAAAGGTTGTAAAGAATTATTAAAGTTGGTAAGAAATGTTTCGGTCCATTAACTTTTTGGTTTGGTGCTTTGATAAGTTGTTTTTTCACTGTTTCGTTGCTTGTCATCAGTGCAGTTAAGAGTTCGATATTTACCCACTATTTTATTTTAAACCTGGCCTGTCCACTTTTCCCACATGGATGTTCGAGTGGATCCACTCTACGCATTGACGGCTTCCTCATTGTTCGCTGGGTACAACGTGGACGATATATCTAGTAATCCACTTTGTTCGTCTCTTCTTTCCCTGTTTCTCGTACAAAACTCACTTCTAGCAGATATTGCCTTGGTAAAATCACTTGAGCCAGAACTGCACGACCTCACTGCCATATTTAGTGACCCTGTGCAGCATGGTGCTCTCATCGCTGCTTGTTTTTCAAAAAAAAAAACGTAATATTTATAAAATAAAATAAAAAGATCCCTTATAAAAATATCGCCTTACGGTCTGTTAAAAATATTCCTGAATTATAATAATTTCTTTGCTTTTTAGAATGTTTGCATAATCTTTTGTATCGAGTAATTTCTTCGTCACCACACATTCGAAGGTTGAAATAAAGCATCTGTTTAGGTACCCCTCCCCTTTTTCGTCCCCTTCCCGTTCCCTCTATTTCTATGATAAGAGGCAAATAAGAAGTGCACAAAAGTGTTGACTTTGTCTGGCACAAATCTGCTAAGAAACAAAGTAATATTTTGCAAATTAGTTAAATAGTTTTTTATGCGTTTTTTTGCATCTATGTAATGCAGAAAACGCATATTGACGAGGAGGTTGTCTGTGTGTGTATCTGTGTATGTG